CTACATTTCTCGACATAATTTGATGGAAGGTCTAATTTGATTGCTTAGAGCCTAGGCTCTATACAAACCGCACCCTAATTATATTGGGGCAAATTTTATATTCTCTTTTTCGTAGCCACATAACAGATGGCATAAATATTAGATTGGTTACAAGGTAATGTTTTAGGGAATCGAATTAATCCATGTGGACCTTTGAAGGGTGCACATGCGCCGGTTTAGATTAAACCTAGCCTAATCGAAGAGCTGAAATAATATTATTTTGATTTTTTTTAAAAAAAATTGTATCTATTTGAAACTTGAGGCCTAGATTCAATTTTATAAGGGAAATCGAAAAAAAAAATTTAAAAAACCTTTTGCTCAAAATATTAATTGAAATGCATTTAGAGATATTTTGATCAATTTTTTATTTAAAATGTTTTTAGTTATTTTTATATAGTTCTCCTAATTAAGCATATACCTCATGTTTAATATAAATATATAATATTTAAATAAACAATTAAGATAAGGAAATTAATTGGATACAATTGTTAAATCTAAATTGTTGGAATGGCGCTCGTGCACTATTCTGATCCACATGATGATGTGGATGGGAGAGTTTATGTTATAAAAAGTGTACATGTCATCAAGTAGGCGTTGTGATGCAAATTAAACAATGGGTCATTTGTGTTTTTAATATAGTTTTTGAACTTAATTTTTTACAGGATGTAAATGCATTTTTCATGTTTTTCTTAGGGTTAATCTTAAGAAGTTATGTTATGGATAGGATTAGCTTGAGTCTTTGGGTTGGTTAGGATGTGTCATTTTAATGGTATATTATCTTATTTTTTATTTTTTTTATGTTTTTTTAATTTAATTTTCCTCCATCTTCCTTTTGATTAAGCGGTGTCAGAACCTATATGATCCATTCATTACAATGCCACCAAAAACTACTTCTGTAATTGATAATCAGATGCCATAAATTATGAAAGGTATAAACAAAGCAATGGAGGGTTTACGAGTAAAAGTCAACGTAATGAATCAGACATCGCAACGATTGGAAAACACCTTTTTTTGAGAAGAGGGTACTCGCAATTATGAAGACCCGACATACAATTTTGCTATAAAAACAAATATGGTCTCACACATTGTTGGAAAAGGTGGGCGATCCAACCGCCAACTGCTCGGTTAGATTGGAACCCGCCATTGGCCGGTTCCAGTTTTGGGCAGTTTTGGTGATCGACTGGTATTTAAAAAAAATTCAAAAAAATGTATATAAATTTCAAATTGTAATGCATTTTTTAATATTATTTACATTATAGTAAAAATAAAAAATTGTTTTGGCATTTTAATTCAAATATCGATTCGTTAAAACCTATTTTTTTATTAATTTTCAAATTCATTTGAATGTGTTTTGTTTTAATATTTTTTATATGCTTTTCATATTTTAATATATTTTTTAATCTTTTTTATTTTTTCAATATTTTTTAACCGCCTGGGACTTGCCCGATTAGAACGGTTGAATCGGCCGGTTTATCGGTTAGGCCAGTTAAACCACTTATGGGCATATGTCTGACTAACCATTCTGGTTCAATTTTGCAAACAATGATCTCACAACCTACTCAGGGTGCTGATCCCGAATGCAACGAACAAGGTATGACCCACATCTTGTAGAGTGTCAATGAGATCTCGGTATTAAGATTGATCTATTTGAATTTCATGGTAAGCTTCATATAGAGGGTTTTATTTGTTTGTTGAGAGTAGTTGAAATTTTTCTGGATTGGAGTAAATTACCATAAGAGCGTAAAGTTAAACTTGCAACGAAGCTCTATGGATGGGTATATTGTGGCTTGATAGAAACAAGTTCAATAATCCCTACTTCATAGTAAAAAGAAAAAAAATTCTCATTCATAAAAGATGAAAAAGATATTGAAGAAAATTTCATCACGTGGATCATCAACAAATTTTCTTTTAAGATCTTTAAAATCTCTGATATAATAAAAATAAATTGGAGGATTATATTCGGTAATTTTGTAGGCTTGTGGCTCAAAACAACTTCCAGAGACTAAAGGATAACATGTTACTTAACCAACTATGAGAATGATGGTTTTTAACATGGGACATGGACCTTAAGCAAGGTTTTTTAAATTGCTTTATAAGGTGGAGACCAAATTCGAATAGACCATGAATAAATGTTTTACCGAGCAAGTGAAGGATTCCTTGAAGGTCACATGTAATCGATGTAATGAAACTGGATACTATGCATAGTATCCAACGTAGCCCCGTCTTCTCAAAAAGAAAAACGGGGCTACGCTTGACGAAAGAAGTACACAAGATGAAGATTAAGACTTAGAAATATACTTGCATAGTCATGAAAGGGATAATCTTTGAATCAAGTTAATCTTCGAGCTCCACCTTCTGCCAACCAAGTGAATGACGCAAATAAATAGATTATCAATTTTTATTTTTAATTTATTTTTTTATAAGATATTGGTATTTGTTATTTAGGGTTAATATTTAAAAATTGGGCCGTGGATAGGATTAGTGCGAGTCTTGTGATCTTTTTCTTAATTTTAATTTTATTCTTCTTTTTAGTTTGTATTTAAAAGAAATGATGTCATTTTTGGACAAGTAAGAATTTATTTTTTTATTTTTGGATCGTGTAAAAATATCTTTGAGTAGAGCGCCTTAGGTATTTTCTCTCTTCCCTTTATTTTTCTTCTTGGACTTTTTGAATTTAGTCTTCTTCCTCTTTCCTCTGAATAAGGTTCAATCCTTTGTTGGAGGGCACCTCAATTGTTGGAGTGTAGATCTGTCATTTAACTGTTAGAGGGGGTAATTCGGTTCAATCCAGTCGGGGTGCAATCCAACAGATTAAAAAAATAAAAAAGCAATACAAAAAGAGAAATTAAATTAAAAATCCAAAACGCCAAAAGATTTTAGACTCTCGCTGGAGTATACCATCCATTTCCTCCCTCCGATAGTACGCAAGATAGGAGTGATTTTCTAAGACCCAAGATTTTGGAGATGTAACCTCCTCAACCCATAGACTAACTTCAACCAAAATTTTTTCCGAATTGAGCTCTCTATATAC